CAGGAGAAATATTTGAAGAAAAAATAAGTGAAAATTATCCAGAACCAATTAAAGTACCAATTGATAAGTTCAATAATGTCAGCAAATTTCAAGCAGGGTAAAATCTTAAGATCCACACCCACATCTAAGTAGAGTTGACCCCTTGAACAACATTCAGGTTGGGGTGCTCACTCTCCACAGACAAAAATCCACTCATAACTTTATAGTCAGCCCTCTCTATCCACAGTTGTGTATCCATGGATTCAACCAACCATGGATCATGTAGTACTATAGTACATGTTTACTGAAAAAAATCTGTGTATAAGTAGATTTACACAATTCAAATCCACGTTGATCAAGGGTCAAATGTACGTTATATTTAAGTTTATGTAATGCACAGAGAAATTTTTTAAAACAACAATAGAGAAAAAAATTATCCATAAAGGAACATCAGACTGACAGCTGATGTCTCAAATGTAGTAGTGGAAGTAAAAGGACAGTGAAACAATATACTAATTTGTTAAAGGAAAATTGTTTCAAATCTCAAATTCTATATGCAGCGAAAATATTTTTTGCCAGTGAGGGTAAACTAAGGCATTTATAGGAAGTATGTAATATGAATTAAAAAGTTTGATCCTGAAATTGAGATGGAGAAAATGTCTGCAATTGCCATTTCTATTCAATGCTGAATAGAGGCTCTAGCCATTGCAATAAGGCAAAGAAAAAAAGCATAGGATTGGAAAGGAAAACAAACCCTCATTATCTGCAGCAGTCATGATTGCATAACTGAAAATTCCAACATATTCATAGGTAAATATTAGAATTCAGAGAATTTAACAATTTTGTTGAATATATATTCAATATTTAAAAATAAATTGTACTTCTATAAACCATCAACAAGCAATAAAATTCAAATATTTAAATTAATATTAAAACAAAATATACAGAAATAAATTGCATACAATATTGTTGTTTCTTTTTCTTAATCTAGACAGCAAGTTGACTCTTCTTATTAGTGTAATTTCCCTTCACAACTATGAAACTATCTGAGATATTTAATGAGACCCCAATACGTGGAGAGATATATTATTTTCACAATAAATATGTCAATCTTCTGGAATCCTACTTAAAATCCCAGCATTTTTATGCAAAGGTAAGCTAATTCCTTAATTCAACTATAATTTTTAAAGTATAAGAATAACCAAAGTAATATTGAAGAACAAAATTTTTACTACTGGATATTATGACTTTTTACTAAAACTATCATAATTAATAAAGTATGGTAGTAGTGCAATGATAAACAAACCAACCTATGGAAAAGAACATAGTCCAGAAACTAACTCATATTTACATAACACTTCATAGCTGACAAAATTGATATTGCAGAGAGAAAAGAATAATCATCAGCAAAAGAAGCTGGGTGAATTGGCTACCTATATATAAAAAATAAATGAATTTTGATCCTTATTCAGCAGTATATAGATGAATTATAAATTTAAATGTGAATGATAATGCAATAAAACTTACATGATCAAAGGAAACTTAATATTTAATATAGACATAGGGTATGTGAGGAGTTATTGAATATGTCAAAAACAATGAACATAGAGGGAAAAAATAGGCTTCAATGAAATTTTAAAAAACTTCTGATTAAAAGAAAAATAAACAAATATTATCTTCAAATAATTACCAAAAGAAAAAATGGGCAAAAGACTTGAACAGCCATTCACCAAGGAGAATATCTAAATTTCCAATAAACATTTGATGATATATCCAATTTCATATATTATCAAAGAAAAGAAAATGAAAACTACTATATATCCAGCATAATGTCTAAAATCAAATAGTCTAAAAGATAGTCAGTACTTTATACTGACAAAGATGTAGAATGATGGAAACTGTCATACACTGCTGGTGGGAAAGAAAATTGGTATAATCACACTGGAAAACCACTTGTCAGTATCAAGTAAAGTTTAATATTCATATACTTTATGATCTAGTAATTTTGTTTATAAGTACATATCTAACAGAAGTGTGCACATTTGTGCACCCAAAGACATGTTAAATAGCAATCATGGCAATATTAATAAAGCTCAGAAATGCCCCTCAAAGATAAACATAATGTTTTATATTCATAACATTAAATATTATACAGCAATGTAAATGAACAAACTACTTCTGTAAGTGGCAATGTGGATGAGGCTGAAAAGCATAATATTGAACTAAAGAAACCAGGAAGACCAGTCAGAATGGCCATCAATCAAAAGTCCACA